GGAAGATATTACGCCTACTATTCATGTTAATTTGATTCATAGGCTTTTGAAAATGAAATGGATAATTTTTTCGCATTATTTACCCGATACTTGAGCGAAAAAAGTAAAGGAACAAAATTGTTAGTGAGAAGGAATTTTATGCTTAACCGGGTTTATATGCTTTTTACTGGCTTTTTAACATGACCTTTTGATGACTTTGATAAAGGGATTGGGACAAAGTCAATTCACCAAGTCCCGAACAAATTATCCCCTATGCAGATTTACCCGGTGATTGTTATGGTAATTTTTTATTCTTTTTTAGAGAGTAATATCTTTATAAAAAATAGATGTTAAAATATGTATTCTTTAATATATAATTTTGAGTTATTAAGAGTTAGACTCATTTTGACACATGTATTGTACAAGATTTCTCATTATCCTAATAAATGAATTTTATTTTTTTTTAATTTATATTATATTGTATTAAACCATTCTATAAATTTAAGTTAAGTTTTTTTTATTAATAATCAATGATTGGTTATCTTGAAAATAATACATTGTCATCAAAAGAATTTTCTACTTTCAAAAAGATTATATTAAAAAATGAATGTACAGTACATATACAGTATATATATATATTGTCTAAAATATCTTTTTACAGATATATAAATATTTTTAAAGAAACTATTATCAAGTATTATTTTAAATAGTAATTTAAAATTCAATAATAATAAAAATATCAATTATATAATACATATACAGTTTGTTACAAAAGTTTTTAGACTTTTATTTTAACTTATAATTTAAAGGTTTAAAGATTAAAATTAATTGAAAAGTTCTAGTATTATATAGTAATAATATTATTGAAATTATATTGAAATTAAAAAATACTTGAAGTATTTTTATATTTTGCTAAAAAGGTTTATTAAACAATAACTAAAAAATCATTATATAATTTTTTTGTAATTTTTTTGTTAATAAAAATTTTTTTATTTAAATAATTTACAATTTTTAAATTTTTATAAACAAAATAAATTTTAAAAATTATATTAATATTTTATAATTTTTTTATATAAATTAAGCCATTCTTTTAATTTCTATAACCAATATTTTTTATAAACTTTAAATAAAAATTTTAAAATAAACTTATTAATTAATTATTAATATAAATATATATATCTTTTTTTATTGTATAAAAAATATTTATTTATTTATAATTCAAATATATATAGGTATATTGATTTTTAATATAAAAAAATTTTTTAAAAATTTTTAAAAATCAATAATAAACTTATAAAATATTTAAATAAAAAATTATAAAAAATATATAATTTTATTAATCATTATCTAATAAATTTATTTGTTAAAATAATTTAATAATTTATAATTATTTTTTTATTATTATTAAAAAATTAAAAAAAATTTTTTATTTTTATTTATAATTGAAACAAATTACATGATAAAATAAGATTAAAAAATAAAATATATATATATTTCAATATATAATAATAATAATAATAATAAATTCAAATTTTAAATTCAAGTATTTATAAATTATATGTTACTAAAATAACAAATATATTATATAAATTAAAAGAAAAAAAATTTTTTTTCTTATTAAATAGTTTGTTAATAATTTAGGTTTTTAAATTTAATTTAAAAATAAAATAAATTTATTTGTTAAAAAATCTGTTTATGATAAGTATTATTATTTAATATTTGTTGAAGTTTTTTTATTAAATTTAAAATATATTAATTTTATATTATAAATTAAAATATAATCAATACTTAAATAAAAATATAAAATTTAACTATATATTTTTTCTATATACTAGTTTTTATTGCTATAAAATTATGTTATACTAAAAATATACATTAAAAAAACAATTGTTTTTTAAATATTTTTTATTTCAATTTTTTAATATATAATATAAATCTAAAAAAATCTAACAAATTAAAGCTATATTGTATAATTTATAATTTTTTTTAATAATCAACAATTGTTATAATCCAACTGCAATGATTCAACATTTCATGAAACAAATCATTCTATTATCTATTTAATATATATATATTTTAAAAACAAGAAGTTATTAATACATTACAAAGATTATAAAGGGCTAGATTGATATCACTTTTTTTTTTCACGTATATAGACAAATAAATTGAAATAGACACCTTATCTCAGGTTATTAACATCAACATTCCACGCGAAAGAAATTCCCTGGGAATTAAATACTGAGCGCTCCCTATTATGGGACGAATGCTCTGTCTCCGGACAAATCCTCCATCCAACGCAATTAACCTTCACAGGTTGGTAAGACACATTGTCTTTTAAAAATGAATTTTGAAGCCTACAAATTTCGTTAATTGCTCTTTGTTCATCGATGAATACGCTCCTTATTTTCTTTT